ATATTCCACATATCACGTTCGATATCCGTAGTAACTGAGGCCACAGCGGCCACAGTTTGGTGGATATTATTCAGGCAAGGTGTTACTACACCACATTTAGCCACCAATTGGGAATTTTTCAAGGATTGTTGCTGTTGCCGCAACCAAATCGGGGAATCTGAAAGAAAAATTGATGACAGATTTATATCTTGATTTTTCTTTCTTTATAATCACTCATTCTTACCTATATAGATCCTTGTCTGAACATTATTTCTCGAGCTAACATCCATCGATTGTAGACGATGTTGTGAGGCCAATGAGTAGCGATGTTGGGCATCCAATGTCACCTCCACCTCAATACCCATAACTCGTAATATCAGATTTTTCATTGCCAATCGGAAATCCTTTAAATGATAGGCATATAAAATTGGATTTACAGCCGAATTCAAATGTGACAAGATTATACAGAACAGCGTCAATTTGGGATGTATCGAACATGTCGGACAAAATGCCTGTATACAATTTATTGTATACAGCGGAATCCAACAGATCATGAAGAACAATACAATAATCGAAAGATTCTGAGTGGCCTTAACATCCCGCTTCCGTGCTGCTCCCAGCACACGCAGCATAGTACCACCATGACATGGACCACGACCAGTAATACTGCTGCCATTGTTGTTATGTATCTGAGCAGTAGAGCTCCGCCGACTGGTATCACCCATTGGATTCATTGTGACAATTTGTCGTACCTGCTTGATGATAACCTTATAGATATGGGCATAGAATGCCATCATCAGCAGAGCGGGTGTAATTATGGTTGCAAAATACAGGAACACCAAATAATTGTAATCCATTACCTCAACAAAGAGACAGGCTTGGTTGGTATCCACCGCTGCATGCCACCCGAAGAGGGGCAGGAAACCGACAATGGCTCCAGCCAACCAGCACATCGATATTATTACTGAAATGATAGGTAAAAATTAAATCTTAGTATTTTTATTTATTACAACTCAAAAATGTGAAACATAGATATAAATGAAAAAGACATAACATGGGTGAGGTGAACTCAATCGATACCAGTGTAAAATCACAAGAAATATCACGAGTTGCATAATATATTTTGTTTTGTGTCTAAGCAATTGCTCATAGGATGACATTCACATTTGGTATGTGTCTCGACTGTGGTTATTTAAAACAACGACACCAAGGGACCATTTCAGTAATATTTTAATGTAAAAATTTGCAAGGACTAACCAAGGCGTTGATTTATTAAAGAATATTTTTCAAGGGCCAACTGAGGCGTGGATTTATTAAAGAATATTTTTGCAAGGACTAACACAAGGCGTGGATTTATTAAAGAATATTTTTCAAGGGCCAACTGAGGCGTGGATTTGTGGCGTGGATTTATTAAAGAATATTTTTGCAAGGACTAACTCAAGGCGTGGATTTTTTTGAAGAATATTTTTGCAAGGACTAACACAAGGCGTGGATTTTTTTTAAAGAATATTTTTGCAAGGACTAACACAAGGCGTGGATTTATTAAAGAATATTTTTGCAAGGACTAACACAAGGCGTGGATTTATTAAAGAATATTTTTGCAAGGACTAACACAAGGCGTGGATTTATTAAAGAATATTTTTGCAAGGACTAACACAAGGCGTGGATTTATTAAAGAATATTTTTGCAAGGACTAACACAAGGCGTGGATTTATTAAAGAATATTTTTGCAAGGACTAACACAAGGCGTGGATTTATTAAAGAATATTTTTGCAAGGACTAACACAAGGCGTGGATTTATTAAAGAATATTTTTGCAAGGACTAACACAAGGCGTGGATTTATTAAAGAATATTTTTGCAAGGACTAACACAAGGCGTGGATTTATTAAAGAATATTTTTGCAAGGACTAACACAAGGCGTGGATTTATTAAAGAATATTTTTGCAAGGACTAACACAAGGCGTGGATTTATTAAAGAATATTTTTGCAAGGACTAACACAAGGCGTGGATTTATTAAAGAATATTTTTGCAAGGACTAACACAAGGCGTGGATTTATTAAAGAATATTTTTGCAAGGACTAACACAAGGCGTGGATTTATTAAAGAATATTTTTGCAAGGACTAACACAAGGCGTGGATTTATTAAAGAATATTTTTGCAAGGACTAACACAAGGCGTGGATTTATTAAAGAATATTTTTGCAAGGACTAACACAAGGCGTGGATTTATTAAAGAATATTTTTGCAAGGACTAACACAAGGCGTGGATTTATTAAAGAATATTTTTGCAAGGACTAACACAAGGCGTGGATATTTATTAAAGAATATTTTTGCAAGGACTAACACAAGGCGTGGATTTATTAAAGAATATTTTTGCAAGGACTAACACAAGGCGTGGATTTATTAAAGAATATTTTTGCAAGGACTAACACAAGGCGTGGATTTATTAAAGAATATTTTTGCAAGGACTAACACAAGGCGTGGATTTATTAAAGAATATTTTTGCAAGGACTAACACAAGGCGTGGATTTATTAAAGAATATTTTTGCAAGGACTAACACAAGGCGTGGATTTATTAAAGAATATTTTTGCAAGGACTAACACAAGGCGTGGATTTATTAAAGAATATTTTTGCAAGGACTAACTCAAGGCGTGGATTTTTTTGAAGAATATTTTTGCAAGGACTAACACAAGGCGTGGATTTTTTTTAAAGAATATTTTTGCAAGGACTATCAATAGGCGTGGATTTTTTAAAGAATATTTTTGCAAGGACTATCAATAGGCGTGGATTTTTTAAAGAATATTTTTGCAAGGACTATCAAGTCTATCAATAGGCGTGGATTTGTTAAAGAATATTTTTTCAAGGTCTATCAATAGGCGTGGATTTGTTAAAGAATATTTTTTCAAGGTCTATCAATAGGCGTGGATTTGTTAAAGAATATTTTTTCAAGGTCTATCAATAGGCGTGGATTTGTTAAAGAATATTTTTTCAAGGTCTATCAATAGGCGTGGATTTGTTAAAGAATATTTTTTCAAGGTCTATCAATAGGCGTGGATTTGTTAATATATAAATAATAGGGCACTGCTTTGTGTTCGTTTCATTAAATTAATTTGTATTCACTGAATTAATGATTATGCATCTAAATGAAACGATTTATGGAAAATTTAGGTAAACATTTTATAAACGCAGTTAAATATTTGTTCGTGTTATGAATCTCTTGCTTTTAGCGTATGGAATCATATTTATTTTCATATTAAAAAATCCAACAATATTTAAATGACTATTAACTTTAAAATTAAAGAAAAAACGAAAACAAAAAATACTAAACTTACATGTGCATTTTAAAAATATTTTGTGAATCAGCTAGACATTCCATGGAAACTACACCATAGGCAAGCCTCTCTTGAAAATGACAAGCCTTTCGACGACAACGGCGACTACGATGCACAGTGTCACGACCGCGGCCAAAAATGGTCAAAACCAAGTACCACGGAGGACAAATTTTTTGATGAGGATTGATAGAAAACACTCCAATTAGAATAAATATGAAATTTTATATCGTTATGTCAAGTAGTTTTGTCTCTACAAAGGTTCAAATCTGATAATTATTTATAAACTGATTTTTTTACCATATTTTCGAAAAATGGGTGTGTTTTTCTATTGCTCAAATATTTGAATATTCAAATTAACGGTTATTATAAAAGTGTTTATTTTGGTTGCTGTGGATGTAAAAACTAGGATTCGCTTTAGTTTGTATGTGTATAGATATCATATGGTGTATGCAGTCGTCCACACTTGTAGTACTTAGTTCATAAAATTTTTAAAACAAATTTTGAAAATAGTGGAGCAGAAAAAAAAAGTTTAAAAAAGGTTAGCTCTAATTTTTTTTTATTTGAGTGGTGACAAGTGTGTTTTTTAAGGAATAAAAAAAATTAGCTGCGGAGTCCTGCGGTTCTAAGAGTTATTTAACTTTTTTGGTGACCACCTTATTAAAAAATATGGCATATTTATGAAAATTAAATAAGTTATTGAGGGTCAAATAGGAAGGAGAATATGTATTCAGAATATAGAAATAATACAATATTTTACATAAAATATGCAGTTAAGTGGTAAAAACCTTATTCGAATCGAAGATATGGGAGAATTGGTTTTAAAATATAGCTTTTAAATAAATTTTCAGTCAGTTTGAAGATTATACTTATTTATCACATCATTTGAGACATAATCTTATAATCTAAATTTAGATGTCGCACATGAATTACCTTTGTGGAAAGTTCATACAGAAAAATATTAGTTCATGGCATGGGATATGCAAAGTGCAGTACAATACCTTTTGAGCGACTTTCACAAGATGCTAACAAGTTATGCCAACAAATAATTAGTAGCAGCCAGAACTTTTGTTAAAGCCGAGTTAAATCAGGATTTTATTTAGAATTTTATATTACAATCCGACCTTGTAATATCCTTAAACAGCCATAAAGTAAAGGCCCGAGATTATAACGTGGATAATATTAAATCGTACATTTGGGAAGACAATATTTTATATATATCTCTCATGTGTGTTTTGAAAATTTTGTGAATGATAAACAAGTAATTTATTAGTTACTAAAGGATATCAAATATTTATTATATTATAATAAAAATAACAAAAAGGAAAATACTATACTTAATATAGCTGCATATAACGATTTCATAGTACAGAAAGTTACATTTTTAGGGACTTTTGGTATGGTAGGTATCTGAAATATGGGCCAACAACTAAATTACAGCACCTATTACTTTGTTCGCTCAAATTTGATGTAATTTGGACGAAGACATGCAAATTTTCCTGCAATTTGGATGAATATAAAAAATTTATAGGTCCAAAAAGCGGATTTTTCAAGACCCTTTGTATGGGAGGTATATCAAATCTTGGCCCAATCTACCCAGTTTTTGGTCCGTTGCTTTATAGGCATAAGAAAAATTTAAATTGCCAATTTTCATTGAATTTGGTTGAATATTAAAGATTATATAGCCCAAGACCCTTTGGTCCGATCTACCCAGTTTTTGGTCAGTTGCTTTAGAGGCCTAATTAAATGTAAATTGCCAATTTTCATTGAATTTGTTTGAATATTAAAGATTTTATAGGCCAAAAAGGGTGACATTCTGAAGACCCATTGTATGGGAGGTATACGAATTCTTGGTCCGATCTATCCAATTTTTTGTCAGTTGCTCTTTAGGCCAATAATAAGCACATGTATGTAATTTCATTAACTTACCATAACTCCTTCTATTTTTGGCCGCTGTTTATATGAACTCGCGACATAGTGCGATGACAAGAAAAATTAATCAAATTGGTCAAGTAGTACTATGTCCGACCACCCACCATTTTAAGTAGACAACGCTAATTAAAAAATAACAATGAACCCACTAAACGTTTAACTTTATTAAGTGACTCTAGTTGACGTTGTTGCTGCTGCTGCCGTTGGTGGTCATAATAAAGTAGCATAAAGTGGGACGTCACCATGTCAATGAAACAAAAACAAGAAAAATTTATATGTCATAAGTCATCTAATTTTATATGAAACATTTCCCAATGCAGCAGTTAATGTAGGTTAAGGAAATTTTCCTTTACTTTAAAGTTGCGCCATGAAATGAAGTATTTTCTAAAGCACCGGTATAGTCATCGGGGTTGAGATGTTAGTTCTGTAGCCTATTGTTTACTCCATATATAAACATATAATTTCTTAAAACGTATTTGCCAACTTTTGAAAGATCACAAGACACTTTTTTCTTTAATGTGATCCTATTTAAATTTCAAATAGTGATTTATTTCTACTCCATACGATTTTTGCACATTTGTTCCCCTACGTCATTAAAAACTACTTCAATGCAACAAGTAATTCTTCCTATATCCTCACTTTCTTGTTCTAATGGCATACAAATTATATCGTCGTCAGGACATTAGTGCACTGACTCATGT